TGTGGGTGGGGGCCCCAGGTAAAGCCGAGCGGGGCTGTAAAAGCCTATTCCTGCCCTCAGGGGCCTGGCGATCCTGCGTTTTAATTTGTTCCTTGACCCAGTTCCTGCGGATCTTACGCTCTGCGTGGCTTTTGTCGTGGTATACCCCTGCTCCCTCTCAGTCTCTTTGGTCTTTTTTCCAGTCTGCACACATTTTTTTTCCATTTGTGCAGGACACTAATGTCTGTCCAGTGTTCCAGTCAGCCACTGGGAAACCAGTGTTACTCACTTTTAAAGTTGGCTTATCAGGTAGCTGACATTTAAATGTTTATTTTTTTCTTTGTTCTTTTACGGTAGACACTTTGTGGTGAAAAATAAAATAATTTATCTAAAATTGAGATTTCCAGCTAGATTCAGTTTGTGATTGACTGGTGAAATGCTGCACAAGGACATTGATTAACTGATATCTTACTTTTCTGCAGCAGCACGCTTTTTTATCCTACAGTACTTAGTTGCTGGCCAGCAATATGAGCAAAAAAATAATTTGGAACTATTTCAGTATCTTTAATTCCAAATTCTTTCAAGGGAAGACTGTTGTTACCATGTTTGCTTGCTTGTTTGTTTAATACTTTTATATGTACAAAACCAGGTGGGGGACTATTCCACTTTGTGTTGAAATTGTGTCCCTTTTGGAGGGGCTTTTCAGACCTTCCTTTGTGGAACGCTTTTCAGGTGACAGCTATCCGTAATAAAATTTTAATATAGCACTGGGTTCTGTTTTACTTTATTTGAGGAACACAGATCAGCTAATGGCAACTGACCCCAGAGACAACGTGAATTCCCAGTGAAATAAAGTTCTTCTGACAGAGAGGCAGAAGGACTATGTTTGAGTTTGTGGTGGAGCTGCATGGAAAACACAAAATCTGTATTAGATTCTATTGCCCCTAAAAGGCAAAGGAAGAAATGTAATGGGTTCTGGTTTTGTTATACATTCATTAAAAATAATCTGATTGGTACTCTACTTTAAAAAAAGGATGTGGAAATGTCTGGGTAGCAGATACAAGGGGGAACAGTGGTCAAGATACTTCCGAGAAATAAGTGATTATCAGCCTTAGGTTTAAAAATTTTTTCTGAGTCCAACCTCAGTAAATAGAAGATGATTCTGCCTTCCACTATCTTAGAATTACGTTTTTGAGAAATGCTAGAGCACAACCTTGCAAATTGAACTTGGCATTGTAGCGTCATCATCTTGGCCAATAACATACGGCTTGATAGATGTGTTGATATGATAGCTATAAGCTTTACTCCATGCTTTGAATGTGCATCCCTTGAGAGAGCTAATCCTTCTGCATGACCGAAGGATGTAAGTGAGCTTTCCAAAGGGTGTTCACATCCATCATTCCCTCACTGATTGACAGTCGCCAAGTTTTCTTTTCACAAATTCCCTTTTTTTTGGCTACGCCTTTTCAAATAGCTATTTATATAAGGTGAAGAGCAGGAAAATGTCATTACTCACAGGTGCTTTTCTGTCTTCAGAGTACAGTACAATTTTGGTCTTCTACCTAAATTTGAATTTGGAGTATATTTAATAGTACTAACTGGTCAAATATAGTAAAAAAAGAGAGATCAAGCTAATACTGTCTAATGTGATGAATACTTACTGCTTTTACCAAATGCCACTGTATTATTTTCCAAATTCTACAATTTGGATGATACTTCAAGTTTTTTGTGTAAATACTTGAACAAGATTTTTTTTTTCCTTCTAATAATATTCTAGAAGTACTTTTTAATGAAGACTTGGACATGTAAATGGTGATTTGTTTTCACTGAGACATAGTAATGAGTTAGGATTAGAAAGGAAGACCGATAGAAAGGATTTCTTACAGAAGAGACATACAATGGAGCCAATAAGAGGCATGTGAAGAACAGTTTAACAATGTTTAATGACAAAAAGTACCATGGATAGTGTTGAGTAATGCTGCAAGGTAAACCAAATATACAATGCTTAAAGTTATTCCCACTACATTTGTTTTAGGTAAAAATTTTGTTGTGTTTTCTTTTATTACTACTACATTTCCACATAATTTTCATGGGTGCAATTAAATACGTGTTTAAAAAATGTAGTTTTCTGAACTTTTCATATCTTTGGACAGAAAATATGTCATTGTTTTATATAATACTTGATATGACATGGAGCAAAAGAAGTCGGATTAGCAAAGCTAGTTTAGTTCATTTTCATCTGATTTCTACATTACAGCTGTTTTAATTATTATGTCAACCTGTGTCAAGCTTTTAATTTGAAACATTCATTTTATTACCGCTTCCCAGCAGGTTGTATAAAACATTGAAATGGAGAAAGATACGATCAGAATGTCTTGCTTTTCAGCAGTCCCTGGCTGGTCTCCTGGTTCTCATTCTGCAGGGCTCTTACTCGCAGCCGCTGCTAGGAGAGCAGCTTTGGAGCAGCCTGCAGTTTGGATAAGCGCTTGAGCTTGCTTTCTGGTCTGGTTTGCAGAACCTTGCTGTCGGTACGGCAAGTCTGCCAGTCTGAATGACGGTATGGCTGGTATTACTAAAAAGGACACCAGTGTATGCCATAATATACTAACCAGCAGAATTTGTAAATGTTTTTTTTTTTCTTTACCAGCCCAGCATCTTATGTATGAATATTTCAACAAAATAGTATGCCTTTTACTTTTGGCAGTTAAAATCAATGTTATTTATCAGATCTTTTTAAGATATGACTAAGACAGTCTTTCCCTTCAGCTTGAATTGTGTGGTTTAATAATTCTACTGCGCAGTCAGGTCCTCAAGTACATTTATTGGTTTTTATGTATTTTAGGAGACTGGCACATGATAAAAAGTAAACTTGAGTTTAGAGTGATTTTGTCAACTTTTCTTACGGTAAAATATACCTGTGTAAAGTTAAATGACGTGGTTCTCCAAACAACTCATTTGCAACTAAAGATATACACAGCACACATAATTTTAAGGCTTTACATATCCTGTGAAGTATAAGCTTGTAATATTATGTCTGCCTTCTAAAATAATGTTAAGAAGCTTCTGAAAAGATTTTGTAAGCAGAATTAGAATTTGAAAAGTGAACAGTAAAGCATATTTTGCCTGCCACAAAGTTAAAAAAGCTGTCTTTTTCCATAAAATAAGTAGATAGTGTAAGTCAGTTGTATACTTTCTTTGTTAATAAAATGAGATAACAATCTGAATCTTTAGAAATCCCACTTTTGAAAAATAGTGGGTTTATTCAAGGCTGTCTTTTGTCTGCATTATCATGCATTGGTAAAGACAGTTAATAACAGACATTTTGTTATAAAATGGGGCTTTTGTTTTATTTCTTCTTGCTGTTACTCACACTAGTCTGTTTCACTGTATAGCAAGTGCAAGTTGATTATACTAGCATGAGGTGTTAATGGAAAATTCAGGCTATTACACATTACTTGAGTTCTTTTCCCTCATCTGAACATACTTTTAGGATTGATCTAAACATTTCCTATTTTTTAATATGACTTGCTGGTGGAATTGCTTTTACACACTTTATTCATGGAAGATATAGTTTATGGCCAAAAGAAATATGCGACTAGTCTGAAAAGAGACTGCGTGCAAGCATTCATAGAATCATAGAATCATAGAATTGTTTAGGTTGGAAAAGACCTTTAAGATCATCAAGTCCAACCGTTAACCTAGCACTGCCAAGTCCACCACTAAACCATGTCCCTAAGTACCACACCTACACGGCTTTTAAATACCTCCAGGGATGGGGACTCAACCACTTCCCTGGGCAGCCTGTTCCAATGCTTGACAACACTTTCGGGGAAGACATTTTTCCTCATGTCCGATCTAAACCTCCCCTGGTGCAACTTGAAGCCATTTCCTCTCATCCTATCACTTGTTACTTGGGAGAAGAGACTGACCCCCACCTTGCTACAACCTCCTTTCAGGTAGTTGTAGAGAGCAATAAGGTCTCCCCGAGCCTCCTTTTCTCCAGGCTAAACAACCTGCATTCCTTGCATCGTTCCTCATATAAAGCGTCCTTCCACCCTTTTAGGGGTTTCTGGTTTCTTAATTTCTTAGTGTTAGTTAGTATAGCATTGGAGGAGATTTTAGAATTTTCCACTAAAATCTCCACTTTAATATAAATAAAACAGGTAAAACATTTATTCCACAAAGTTAGTAAATATTTACTTTTTTCCAGATTGTGAACTTTGAATAAAATACAAAAGGTCCCCAAAATAAGCTGATACAACTCCCACCTGTTTTTAATTGAAAATCAGATTCCTATTAAACTATTTATTTTGCAAAAGTGGCACTGCACCACTTATAAGGCATCAAAGAAAATATTTGAGGGGCTTTTATATTATTTATCTCTCCAAACTTTGAACTTTTCTACTGAAGACCGTTTTCTTGCCAGCCTTCCCTTAGAATATCAATAAAATGGAGAGAAGCATCTAGTAAAATGTCCGTAGGTGTTTTATAACATATATTTGGGCAAAACATGAGTTCGCCAGAGAGTGCTTTAGACTTCAGTGATATTATATGTGGAAGCAGAGTCTGAATGTCTTTGTTAACGCTGAACTAACTATAGAGTCAGGATCCTAACCAAGTATGTAGTTATTTTTTCTAAAAGCACATTACATCTGTGTAGTCTTCCTGAATATAAACTGCAGAAGAATATTAAATGCACCAATTTATACATAGAGTTACCCCCCTTCAATCAATAGAATTAGCGTAAATTTGCACTGTATTTGATAATGCTGGTATTTGATAATTCTTGTGTGGGATTCACAATGAACTGTGCAGGCAGAAAACTGTTTATTCCCAATTTAATACTAATAGCTGTTAAAAAGTAAATTTCCCTAGGGTCTTGCTAATCTATGGTCTACTGAGAGATAACATACTGTGGATTGACATGTCATCAAATTCAGTACTAGACATGCAGTAAAACCTACACCAATAAATTATCCAGTAAACTTCTAATACTCATTTTTTTCTTCATTTTACAATAGCTGTGTGTCAACATGACCAATGAGAAGGTACACCAGTACATCAATGAAGTGCTTTTCCTACAAGAGCAAGCAGAATGTGTACAAGAGGGAGTTGCCATGGAAACGGTGTATTCTCCTGGTAACCATACTGCAGCCTTGGATTTTTTCTTTCAGGTAGTTTTCAGATCCATTTTACACCATGTATACTTATACACCCCCTCTGCATGTTAGACTAATACAAGCTTTTGCCTGCATTTTCGGATTTATGAATCTGTAGAGAAGGTCATGTGTCCAAAGAGACCATAGAGAGGGCTCTCACAGCTCGAGACCTAACAGAGCTTTCTCACAGTCCAGGGTTGAAGAAGATGTAACAGAAGCTCCTTGCCTGTACTGATTCACGCGCAGCATCTGTGTATCATGCCGTGTCGTTAATGCAGCTGTAGGACGGACAAGTCTCTGTTGTAAGCCTGACAGTTTCTTTTGTGCCTGAAGCTAGTTTCTGGAGTATAACTTCTAAGAAGGACGTAGCCCAGTTCCCTAAAAGATCATCAATATTTACCATTTTTGGCAACTGAAATATTATTCCCTACGGTTCTTGCAGAATTATCTGATGCGCATAGCCTTGGGCACTTACCAGTATATTTTAACCATTTTTTCCTTTTCTTTGAGGTGATGTATGTTTCTGTTTACTAAATTACAAGCTGTGTTACTCTACAAGGAACAACTGAAATTCTATTGCTCCTGTATAAAATGAGAAAAATCTATTTTTCATTTCAGAAACCGTCAGGCTTTTTGTCAATGCTGGATGAAGAAAGCCAATCTATTTGGTCAGTGGAACAAAGTCTTTCTAAACGCATTCAGTCTTACCTGGATACATCAGACACAAATACAGTATATTCCTCCACAAAAGATGGAAATGGTAACCTTGCCCCAAAGGATCAGGGCTCCACCTTCACTGTTATGCATTATGCTGGGAGGGTAAGTTGTTTGAATGATTGGTTACACACAATTAATGAAAAAGAATAAACAAAACAAAATCCTGCATCGCTTCTCCAACTCCTGGCTATAAATAACAATTCACTTTCTAGTGATGAATTTTCAGATGACAGCTTAGAATCTCAACACAATATCCACTGTATAAAACTTGTGGTTTGTATCATATTGTGCAGGGTTCAGGCTACCTCATTCTCTCTCCTAAATTGTATCTTCATTGTAAGCACTTTATGGAGAAGGGGGTGATTCAGATACCTCAGCATACATGCTTAATGCCATTTTAGTTGACTGTCACTTCGCTTTCAGATGTTGTTCCAGAACAGTATAGGTTCCCTGTAGATCCTGTGCCATATATGTAGATACCTTGGATACCAGCATGCATCTGGTAAAAAAAACCCACCACTTTTTTTTACTAGTAGTCATAATCAAAATATATTTTTTTCCTTTTTTTCTTCAAAATCCCAGAACACGCTAAGTGTCTCTAAATATGGCTGTAAAACAGGATGAATGCTTGCATGTCCCCTCCTGCAACGTTCACAGGAAAAGCATAATCCATTCTGTTAAATAGGCCTCTTACCCTTTTCTTTCCAATACTCTCTCATTTTCACATTGTCTCCACAACCACCCGCAACCCAAAGAAAGCAAAATAGGTATGTGTTTAAAGGGATAATCATTTTTTTTAGATAATCTGGCAGATTGGCCGCTCTGTGATTAATCTGACATGCTGCTACTTCTTTCTGTTCAAAGCATGGTATTTGAAATGAGCTAATGAATGTAGATTGTATGGGCGCAATACAGTGGGGGCTCTTAGTTACCACTTTTCCAAAATTTCCACCGAAATCAGGTGAGAACATACGCTGAAGGCTGCAGGAATCAGTCTTTACATCTGAACAACTTGTTCCGTGTCCTTTCCCACTTTCTAAGTCTTATGCAGATGATCCCATGAGCTACCCGTCCGCTGATGGATTCCCATAAAAGCTTTGTGCATAGCAGGTTTAGAAACTGTTTAGCTACTGTGCCTCAGAACCACCGCATCGTGATCATATGCACTGCATTGTTTATAAATATAACTGTAAGTGTTATTAGTTGATGACTTTACATAGTAGGTCACTTTAAACCTGAGATCTCAGTAAAGGCTGCTGTCGGGCAGAACCTGGCTTTTTCAGGATTTAGTGGCAGCACGGGATACATACCTAATCACTTCAGAATCCTCCGTGGAAGACACGTGGACACTGCAGGTGCTTCAGTATAACCAGACAACTGACACCTGGACACTCCTCTTTTTACCCAAGCAACAAGCAGAAGAGATGAGTTTGATGAGCAAGAAATTGGGCGGCTATGATAAAGTCTTTTGATTAGAATGCATATTACAATTCTAAACCAAATGTAACAGCTTTGCTGCTGCTTATTGTGAGAGATAATTAGAGCAACTTTCCCTCACATGATTTTCTGAGTAGCAAATGCAGGGGGTTTATCTGGTATGCTGCTAAAAAAATCACTTTAGATTCAGAAGGGAGTTCTATGTGCTTGCTAGGGTAAGAACACCAGAAAAATAACTCTAATCCATGCTGCTAAAGGTCCTGGATGACACACTTTCTGCTATGATAAATATTTTAGGTGGAACAGATTTATGCTGTCAGTCGACTATTGGTAGTGGGTACGCTTATGAGGTGTGTTGAAGACTTGTCTCCAAGTCACCAAAAAAAGACTTGCTGGCTCTGTCATACCTCAAAGTAACATTATATGCCCTGAGCTCTCCGGAACAGATGAGAGGCTGGAATGTGCACGCTTAGGCTTCTTTAACCAGATTAGGGTCCTTTACAGCAATATAAATGGTGAAAGGTCTGTTTCGTGGCTCCTCATTTGGAAATTAAGTCGATGGAAGTGTTGAGTAGCGTTCTGACGCAGGCAAATTTGTTCCTGCCCAATGATAGAAATGTGGTCATTATGGAAAGGATTAAGCCTATTTGGGCAGTGCTTAAATTCCTAACCTAAATACTCTGAATAACTCCCTGGAGGCTCTTCTTTCATCATAAGGCCTTCTACTTAGACTCAAATTATTTGCCAAAGTTAAGTGGTTTGAATACCTCCACTATTGGGACTTTTCAGTAGGAATGCAGGCACGCAGTGGTTCGGTAACTGCCCAACGAAGATTTTGTGAAACTTATTAGCACTTCAAGTGATAGAGTTAAGAACTGACCGTGGACTCCAGATGTCTAATTTCATTTAAAAATCTGTTCTATACTTGTTAGGTAAATATTTTTGCATGGAGTTCTGTTGTGATTATACAAATTTATCACAATAGCTCTAAAAGGTTCCACACACCAAAAAAACTGACACGGAAGCAGCAGCAAGGCAGCTGCATTAAAATCACAACCAGAATAATAAGCACATTTCTTCAAAATGAAAAAAATGTTTGTCTTACTTCCTGAAGAAGCGCTCAGTAGGAAGATTTGTTAAGATCAAAGATTCAGGTGCCTAGTTCTGAAAGTTAAACTGTGAGTGGTAAGGAGTACACTTTTCATTAACAAGTGTTTTAGCCTTGCATGGTTGTTTAGAATGTTTTTTATAACATAGACACGTGGTTTGACCTTTTCCTAATAATAGTAATGACATTTAATCTAAAAGTATGAACAAATAGACAGCTCTCCAAGTAATGTAAATTCACACGTTCTTTTGAAGTCGATGGAGATCCTTTGATTTACATTGGCCAAGGAACTATTCCAGACAGTCAGGTTGTTCTTTGCATCCTTACGACAGTAAAATGCTCGGCCCTGCCAAAACAGAAACGTTGCATGCAAGTGCTTAACTCTCCTTACTTTAATACTGATCGAGCAAAATCCTTAAAGACACTTGCATTTTTGACCTCTCATGGTACTGTTATCTAGCTATCACAGATTGAAATTTCCAGTGATTTATGATAAGTATTTACATAAAATCTGATGATAGCATTGCTGTACTAAATAATGACACAAATTGAGTTTATTCTGAGACTAGTATGTCTTCATAAGATATTAAGTTGAATATGAAAAACTAGGATTTTAAAACTGCTGATGCTGTTCTTTAGATTGTGCTATTACTACTTTTAGTAGCTTTTTATAGAAGTCATTTGTGATTTATGCTTTATGAAAATTGCTAAAGGATCAGGCTTTTAAATATATCAGGTTTTATTGGCACTCAAAAATAGGAATTTCATATATAAAGTAACAGTATAGTTTGGCAGGTTTTGAGAGCCATTTTTGTACTCTGATATCAATTAAATGAGTCTAAAGTAAGTGAAGTATAAAGCAATCTTTCTCTGCATCGTTACCTTCAGAGATCCCCAAATTTAAAACAAGGGGGCTTGATTTTATTCTCACTTACCACAGTTTTTCACTGGTTGTAAATTCGTTTAACTTGGTAAAGCCTCTCATTATTTACATGAATATAACTGAAAGATGAATCAGACCCAGAGGGTAAAAAAAGAATTAGCAGTAAAATACGACAGGTAATTGAACATGAAATTTTTCACTTCTAGGCTTAATCATTTGTATTTGGGTGACGTGTCTAGGCTGGTGTTTGTGGAGGAAGTCACACTGAACGCAGGCTCTGTGTTAGAAGGTGAAGGCAGACATCCTGATTTCTCTAGGTAACAGAAGTTGTAATTGCAATGTAGTTCACAGCCAATGTGAAACAGCTGCTACTCCAAGTCATCTAGAGGAAAAAAAATGCTAATATTCTATGTTGGCCCTGGTATGAATCTCATATGGACCCTTGCAATTTGGGCTCCTTTTCATCAGTAGTTTATGTATGTAGCTCGAAGTCCAGAATGAATTGGGTTCATATCTTTACTCAGACACTTACAGTAGCTATTTTAGTTACTCATAAGTGCAGTTATACTGGAAAATGCAGCTATTAAAAATACTGCCTCACTGAAGAGACCTACTTTTGTATATTTAATTGAGATTGACAGACAACCTTTTGTGAACAAAACCGATATGCCTAATTTTATGTTATGAGAGAATTACAGCTGGTACAGATGTGTCCATGCAGTTTTAAAGACCTCTAACATGTTCATACCTTAACATTTTGTGTCAGGATACTCACAGGAAAATTATCTTTTCTTCCACTATCAAGTCTTTTTGATTGATTGCAGTCAAAAAGGTATGCGTTGTCAGGTACCGCCCATTCCCTTATGGTTTATGCTCAGTAGCTTTTCCTAGGACTACACATGCCGTATTATTGATCCAAGCCTAATGAGCCTTAGACCATTCCAGAAAAAGCAGTACTGAGAGAAAAAGGGTCACAAGCGAAAAAAAGAAAGCATGAGGTCGAAGTGAGACGAAGAAGGCATATGAGAAGAGGCTCAGAGTAATGTGTAAGGAAAAAAAACCCAAAGAATTCGGAATCCATACTTGATTTTCGGATATTGCGGAAGCACTCATTAAGAAAATCTCTATGTATGATATCATTCCGAGAGACCTTTGATTTTTCCTTATTTTCTTTACTATTTTGGAATGAAGAAAGTGGAATAAAAGAGGAAAACAATATGCACAAGTAAGCTTCTGCACAGAGAAGAAATCAACACGGGGGTGAGGTTTTTCAGTGGAAGCTGAGAGAGAATACTATATTACACAAATGTGACAGAATGATCCTGTGGAAGAAAGAAAACAACTTTTTCTTAATTTCTCTTGAATTTTACTATTATGCCTGCACACGCTAAATCTGTCTTTCTCTGCATGAGCATCATGATACAGTTGTTAACTATACGAACACATGCTTAGCAAAGGCCACTGTGAACATTAGTACTTTATCATATCAAGTATTTTACTTTATCTCCCAGTTTTAATTTTGCTGCTGAACAGAATCCTACAATGCCCTGAAACATTATGAGTCTCTTCTAAGAGCTATTTAATGTCTTGGTATCTGAGTACCATAAGACAAAAAGCTTATCTGTTCTGTTCAGGCAGAAGGTAGAAAAGAATGATTTAGGTTTTGTATGACTAAAAAAAAATCCTAGTGGAAGGCTTTATCTGAAGGTTGTTTAACACATTTCCCTGAAGACTGGCAGTCTGATCTCTTCTGGAAAAATTCTGCTCATCTGGGGGACTGCTTTGCTTCTGATGCCTAACATGAATGTGGGTATTCTCAGCTGCTTCTCATGGAGACTGTCTGCCTGGCAGCACCGTGAGAGGAGAGGCACGCCGGTTCCACACTGCAAGCTCGCCTTGAGGAAGCGAAGTGTTTTATGGGTGCAGTTGATCAATGCATCTGACCATCGGCTGAAACTATACTAAGAATGTGTAGTACTGAATTTCTAGGTACTTTTATTGATAACATTAATATTTACATTGTGGGCTCTCATGTAACAAAGGGCTTCACATGAATTATATCTCTGAACTGCCAGTCGTACTGATAGTTGTGATTTTTGAAGAATAACATTCCATCACAGAACTTTCTCGAGGATTCAAAGTTCTTTTTTTTTAATTTTAGGGAAGAATGAACATATCAATAAGTAAATCAGAAATATATTGTCTTAGCACAATGACAAGAGACACAGCTTTACCTAATAGTGGTATTTAACATACCGGTGTTCGAGATAATGAGCTGTTTGCCCCACTGATCATGTAATCTGAATAATAGGTCGTCATAATTTAAGCTTTCTGCAGTTTAAATTTATACTTGAATTTACAAATCAGATAAGCCCCTTGTCGCTGTTTGCCTCGCCACTGTTTTGACTTATAGTACTGTAATAAACCGATCAGACATAAAGACCAACTTCTTGGCTCTATGAACCAGTGCACATAATGTCCTTTAAGTGCAGATCAATGTCTGTTCCATTTCTCAGCTATGTGCATTTCAGAAATACCTCTCAGCTGTCAGCTCACCTTCACCAAGGCAGTCTTCTCTGAAATGCCTTATATATCCCAGGCAGACTCTGAAACTGAACCTCTAAATCAAAAGACAAAAGGAGATGGATTAATCAATAAGGATGCTTTCATTTTCTCTATTTTTTCCCCAGGCTGAATCCCCAGACATAACAATCAAATCAGTCTAGTCTAAGCTATACCAGGGCCTATAAAGGTTACTTGACAAAGATTCTCTTTTTCACGCAGACAAGATAGTCGTGTTTTTTCTCCCTTTTTCTCCCTCTCTTTCTTTAAGTAGACTTGATTTTGGACTTTCACTTACAGCAGAAAATAATAGAACACTTCCCCCCACTCTCCTATTTTGCTTCTAAATATCTGCTGGTTTCAATATGCTACTATTTCTATCACAGTGTTTGTTAGAATAAGACTTTACACACTATATAAAATTATCTACTTCACTCATTGCTTAACAAGACTTGTTTTGGGAGGGTGAGAAGCCCAGCGATCCTAAAGAAAATGGCACATTCAAGCATTTAAATGATATTACTCACATTTAAGTACTGGCAGACAATTAACAACTACAAGTGACCCTCTGTGCGCTGAAATTGTCCTTGGATGCATTCTCAAAAATTTCTTTTTTAACTATATGAACTAATTATTTTCTTATTAACTAAATTTAACAACACATGCAAAACTGTGAGCTTCTGAGTTACATTTTGTTATTAAAATAGTAAAATTTTCCCTTTTAACTGTGAATGCAGCCAAATCAACCTTAACATTCAGGTGGTATTTTCCTGGCTTGTTTTAGGGTTTCTGCTGGATCTGCCATTAACCATGAGTGATTTTGGCTTATCACAAGATATGAAAACTATTTACGAAAAAGAGTATTTGAAGGAATCGATGAAAATTATGTGTAAAGGTGGCCCTGTTGATAAAGTACATTGGGAAATCCAATAAATTTAGATAAAGTCCCTTGCCAAAGTCAGGTGTTATGAGGAGGGATACATCAGTTCAGAAGAGAAGATGTACAATGGAATGGCATGAGGATAATTAATGAAGCGAAGAGGCAAGAGTATGTAAGAAGATAAGAGGAACATGCAGTTCCCAAAGTTAGCTCTGTGCACAGTTGGTGTGTGAGCCTCCTGTTTTCTGGGTGTTGTTTTTTTACCTCTTATTTGTATCTGCTAGTTCTCGTGATATTAAAACGAGCTATGCCAACTTAAATGACCAGAAAACAGGTTCAAAACAAATAAAATTAAGCATTTTTTTCACATACCTAGTAACTAGTGAAACTCCTTGCCACAGAGTGTTATAGATGCCAAAATTGTTAATGAGTTCTGGAAACAGAGACTCGAGGAGGAAATGTCAGTCAAGAGATATTAAGCACAAAGATGAGATACAGCTTGCAGGTCAAGAGCTCCCTCATGGGCAAAGCCCTGGAAGCTGAGAAGGGAACTGGTGGGAGGCAGAGTGGAAGTATTCCTCAATATTTTTCCCTAAATATCCAGGACTAGATGAACACTTGGCCTGCCCCACTACTACTGTGCTTCCTTTCTGAACTTAAATCAAGAAGGAAAGCAAATCAAATCCCTATCTTGTTTTAATCTGTTTTGATGAAATAAAATGCAGTGTGGAACTGCACACTATTTTCTTTTCTAATAAAAATAGTTCAGCCAGTTCAGACAGTATCTAAAGATCTTGTTTCCTTTGGTTAACACAGACATGTAGGTTTACATACCGTCTACCCCAAAGTGTTCATCATGTAAAGCAAGATAAAGCAAACTGCTGCAATAAATAGAAGTGAGAATAAGGAGTATGTTTTATAATACTGGAACCATGATCTAAGCCAGTGCACATTTCCCATCTGAATCATATAATATTTGTTTGGTTTTTGTCTCCTCAGAATAACTATCCACTGTGCTTGAGTGCCAATCAGTGCAGAGTTTTGGCCAGGTTTACTTTAGAAACCCAATGCAAGAAAACTGGGGGAAATAGATGTGCTTTAGGCAAAGTGATGTGTAAGTTGGCATCTCTGACAAGGGCAGGATTAAATTAACAAAACTGGCAGCTTGAAGAGGACTTATTTCTTTTTCTCTTTTGTGGGACTGACAATGCATATGGAACCCTCGAGTGCCATTTCACTGCGTCAGTTTTCATGTCTTTAGGCAGTGAATTAATTTACCAAGTCTATGGGAAAACCATTAGAGAGTTAGCAATTTCTTCATAAAAAGGAATCCTGCTAACTTTTATGTATTTTATGTGATATGAGAGATGTCTTATGAATATAGTTCTAGAAGTTGGCGATGTATTATGCCAGCACCAGTACTGAAACTTCTCCCTGTTTCGATCTGGGCACTTAACCATAATATAGTATCTCCTACTGCTATACTTACCTACTCTTCCCACCAATACTAACTCGCTGCTTCTAATTTAGTCAAAGCCTAAGACACTCAATTAGGAACTGGCATTATGGATTTGTCGAGTAAGTTCTGTTAATTATCTTTTATGGACCAGTATGGTAGAACATTTACTTTAAGTACACTAAAGGCATTTAATAGTATACTTAATTTATTCTAGTAGTTTGCTAACTATGTTGTATGTTCTTAGGAGATGCAATTAGAAAATTATATAACATTGCATCTGTCATGGAAAAGAACGTAATTCTATTGTTATACCTTTTCTATGTCAGATGCCATACTAATTACATCATTTGACAATTACTAACTATAACAGATTATACACATCCAAGTCATATAATCTCTTTTGTGAGTAAGATAGCGTTACATAATTGTCAAATGACCCAATGGAAAACAAAATTAATGTACTGATTAGTATTACTAATCTTAATTATACATTTACAGCTTTATTAAACATACAACGATAAAATTTCCTCAAATATCTAAGGGGCTTAGGATATAGATCCAATAAAAAACTTAAAAAAGGCTTTAGATAGAAATATGGTCCCAAGGTAAATAAAACTATACTGTATTCTAAGAAGTTCCCATTAAGTGTCTGCCTAATCCTCGAGGTACTACAATCCATAATTTTCTTCCTTTTTAACTTAAAAATTCCCTTTGGGTTCTACTACCATGCAAGCCAGAGCTGTTTATATCTAAAGCCTGTAAATTAACTGGTTGTTTGTCTTCCATCCCCATAAAAAGTAAAAAAAAAAACCAAAACACCCAGGCTCAGTGACTGCTTTTTGGTCTTAGTGCTGCTTTTCTATACAGTGTCTCCTGGGATGGACTCAATGTTAAAACAGCTACTTGGTCATATTTCTTCATTTTGAATGTACCCTTAGGAGCTCTGTCTAGAGCCTTACGTTCTGCTCACTTCTCAGAGTGCCCACCACATGTGTTAGAGTTTATCTGCAGTCAGATGACAGATGGGAGTGACACTCCAACTGTCCTTGAAATTACGACATCAGGCAACTAAGGTGATCCAAAATCCTTATGTGCATAGTTGTTAGAAAGGTAAATGGGATTTGTACATAACCTATAGACTGAGCTTGCCTCCAAAGGACATATAAATGGCTGGAACTCGTCTTGAGTGTGAGCTGGGACTCAGATTTCTCCATGAGTGTTTTATCATGGTCAGTGTGGACAGTTTCCCGTTGACAAGGAGATCTGTGATCTGGGAGCGACTTGCTCATCCTACAGGGAAAGTGATGTTTAGGTCACTGTCTTCTGCTCTACACTACGCTTTTGATTCAAAGTCTTGCATTGTGGAAATATTTTAGAATCAGTCTGATGAAATTTCTGTATACTTGCAGAGACACACAATGTCCAACCACCAGTTCTTCTGACTAGTATTGTTGCACTAAGAAAGGAATAAAAGACACTACCTGGTGCGAGCCTTTAACTGTTGAGTGGAAAAAAACATAGCTTCATTTCTACTGCTGTAAGATTTTTAAAAGATGCATTGGTCATTACTAATGATGTCACAATATTTTATTATAGGTTACTTACGAAATTGCTGGTGCGATAGAAAAAAATAAAGATTCCCTTTCACAAAATCTCGTATTTGTAATGAAAAGTAAGTAAATGGTTTTGTGGTTGCTGTTGTTGTTAGAAATCAAGACATTATGACTTGACTTTAATTTTCCTTTTAGTTTTAAGAGAAATTTATATGTATTTTATTTCCAGCAAAAGAAATCACCCTCATCTTTTTGAACTATGTACACAGTTTGAAATTTGCTCTAATTTAGAAAGCTTTTAGAATTCATGAACATAAAGTATCTTCATCATGCGATGTGATGTAAAGAACAAGAAGGTATAGTGTGATAGATGAGTATGACTTAAAGAAATCACTGAGTATTAATTAAAACAAAAATAAACCCCAGAAAACAGGGAAAGGAAATAAGGCTCCCAAAATCATAGAAACTGCAGTGGGATGCGCTTCACTGCTTGAGTACCTTTCAAAAAGCAGGAACTTGTGGGCGTTCTTATGTTTTTCAGTGAATGGATACAAATGGCCTTTGAAATACAAAATTAAATACCTTTCCGTGTGCATATTATATAATTATGCCTAATAATAAGGCATTCCAGTTTATTAATTAATGATTCATAATTAGATTATTAGAAACCTCTACCATTTACCCTTTCTGTGAAGAAAACCAAAACATTTTCCTCAGGGAAATGTCTGTGTACCCTGAGATGTTTTTCGTCTTTCCTCCAACCACTGCAGAGTCTTTCACTTAATATATTATATACTTACATTTCTTTCCATAGAAATAGAGGTCTTTTGGAGGTCATATTTGTCTTCCAAATCAGCCCTGCTGTTACAATGTATTGTTTTTCAGCAATTCTACTGTGAAATTAGCTAAACTCCCTAGTAAAATAATTGATGCATTTTAAGGGCAAACAGTGTACATTAAGGATGAAGAAAGAAATGGAAGAATTGATCTTGAATGTAATCCTATTGACTACAGTTTTAGAGACATTCCAGTTCTCACTGCTTGGAATTTACATGATAATCTGCCAAAGAGTGTAAGAAGGTATGGCAACTTCCAGTGTGTTCTACAAGAGAGAGCATTCTTCCATTCCCTCACATTGGCTCCTTTTGCACTTTCATTGCTATTTTGTGTAATCAGCTATGCAACTGTTAAAAAGGAAGAACGGAGGATTGGATTGCATACAAAATGTTTGATATGCTGAGAGTGAGTGTATATATAATTAAGTCATAATAATAGCAATTATAATTAATGGAAAAATTCTGAAGACAGAATATTTACAAGCATGTAAGTAATTTAAGGGCTATGTTCCTTCTTTTTTAAGTGAGTGAGGCATAAAACCTATTGATTGTCAGTGAGATATTTCCTTTCGGGTCAATTTCATGAGTTATGTAGAGGTATACCTTAAGTGCATGCTTCCTTTGAATTTCATTGAATTTGTTTCCTTAATCAAAACTTTTAAATATGCTAGCAACATTAAAGTAATTTGCGTATGTGTGTAAGAATGTGGAACATATCTGTCCGACAAATAAATCAGGAGAGACTACTGACATAGATTTCATCTGTTTTAATTTGAAGGACATAATTTTAATGCCTTTTCTAATGCTACTTATTACATTTATCCATATTTTAAAAATGTGGAAGTTTACTATGTCCACTGATTGTGCTGAACTTGTTTCAAGTATCCGATTTATTATCTTCCTCATAATTTTATCATTCCTGTTAAGTAAGTAATAGTAATCTCCACAGAAAAAGGGAAACATCTATTGCATTTAAGCACCTAGTAAATATACCTTTAGACAGCTAATAAAGATCAAACTGAGGATTTCTACCTGCTATGCTAAACTTCATGACATTATTTATGAATGTCATTATCCCATTCATCTTTCTGGTTTTTTGTTTGTTTTATTCACATGATGGGTGTGATCATAATGCCAGTTTGCTAGTTCTTGAAAAAAAGTAATAAAAATTAAGGATGGCTAAGAACGTATCACACAACAGGTTTTTAATACTTATTGGTGCTATGGCAATACAAACAGCATGCAATTACCATGCTAATCTTAAAAAGCCCAATGACCATAATCTCATAAATGATAAATTGACTGAAATTAGTATACAATATCCTACCTGTCTTAAAATTCAGATTTTTATTTTTAAAAACACCTCTTGGAAGTGTATTTGTTTTGTACTAATTATCACCACTGCATCGAACATATGTATGGCATTGTCTTTTTTCTGTAAATGTTTGTAAGCGTGGTCTTGATGTAGAGAAATGTGAAGCCAGCTTGCTACAGTTCTGTCCTTCACCTTGCCTTTTTTTTTTTTCATCCCTTCCCATATTGTGTTTTGTATCATTCTTTGTCTTTGGTGCAGTGAGTGTCTATAATTTATTTCTGCCAAGTGCCATGATCATTTCTAAATACTACATATTAAGTAAGTGTTGTGCAGAATGCATCTCATATTGCTTTAATAGATGGATCAATTTGGAGTCTGGAACAAGACTCAGAGGTGATTATCACATAAGTAATTAAATTTAGATCACAGTCTGAAAGTTTTGTTTCCCACCCTGTTTTGTTCAGCACAGGACCTGAATATGTTTAAAAATAGTGTTACTGATGGCTGACATCCTTAGATATTGAATGCTCTTTGATAACTATCATAATATAATAGTTTATCAGTTTGTCTACTTGTTTTAAGTTTATTTATTTAATTCTATCTCCTACTGTATGTCTTTTTACTTCCAAATACAATATATTTAATTTTCTAACCTGTATTTTATCTTCATGCATTAATTTCTTCTTTTTTTCTCAGCCAGTGAAAATGTAGTCATCAATCAATTGTTCCAGTCCAAGCTGACACAAACTGGATCACTTGTTCCTCCATATCATTCCCTTAAAATCAAAGGGTGTAAAGCAGCTTTGCTGAGTAAAAAAACATCAGTAGCCTGTGCAAGTGGAGAAGCAAAGAAATATATTGAGCTCAGCAAGGTAAGAATTTAGGACTCTTTCTGCTCTTTGGTCCTTGAAGATTTTTCTCTGTTACTTTGTCATTTCTGAAAGCTCCTTATTCTCTGCTTCATTCTCTGTAGTCATTAAACTATTAAAATAATCTAGTACTTAATATCTACACTAAAGGAATAGTGACAACTAACAGGTCATAATTTACTAACACTCATAATGCTGGTTCAAGAACCTCTTTCTTGGACTCTCTGAGCAGGAGGTTGGGCCAGATGATGAGGTGCCTTCAAGCCTGAATCAGTCCATGATTTTATGGTTCCAGGGCTTAGCAGTGGATGCAATGTTACTGATTTTTGGCTGTATAGGAACAATTCCTTGTTTTGTCTCCTTGCCTGACTTTATGATGAATAGTTGAGTAAATTAAGACATAGGAAGCACAAAAATAAAATCTCAATGTCTTTATTGTGTTAACCTGAGAAGATTTCTGGTTTGCAAAAGGTAGTTTGTGTGGTTTTGTATGAAGATCAACCCTGTACATTTTGGGAAACATTATTATTTTAAATAGTCACTTGCCTGCAAATTTTCCCAGTCAATTTGAAATCAAATCAAACTCTCCCCATTTCTGAACTTGTCTCTTTTTCTGCTAGCTAAGTCAGCTAAAAAAGTTAAAAAAAAAAAGGGGGGGGGGAAACTTGGGAGGCTATCAGAAAATTAATTGTTCATGTCACATGGAACATCTCTCTTTTGATGAGAAATAACATGATTTGCTGAGTCCATTCCTGACAGAGCTTTGGAATTCCTCCTTCTTCTAGAAAAGAAGCAAGCAGTTCTCACAATACATCAGCTGCCTCACCAGGCTTCTTGAATCTTACGACTCTATTTTTGGCTTACAGCTGCATAAAATTGATTCTATCATGGGATTAAGGAGCCTGCTCTCATGTGTCATTGTGGAAGGCTTTATGCAAGTACATCCATAGAATAGCAATGGGAGTTTCCTTATAGCCCCCCTGCTGATAGTAGCATAATTCCTGTCTACTGTTCTTGTCAGTAATCTCAGTGGAAAAACTTAAGTTGAAGTGAATGGTGTTGGTTTAAGGCTATATTTAACAAACAGCTGAGGCATCACAAGGTGCCTTTAGGTGCCTTTCCACTATAGTAACAGCTTCCTAGAGGAAGCTTCCTAAGGCTGTGAAAAAGATCCTAGTCCCCCATACATGGAAGGAAGTATGAAAAGCACGTCTAAGTTAGAAGCCTAATCAAGCCAGGGGGAAACACCACACAGCTGGGATCTCTGAAACTATGAGGTTTTTGACCAGTCTAGAATAGCTTTTAACCTGGAGTTACTCTCTTGAGAGATAGAAGACATATTCAAATTCCTTTGGGAAGCATGATAAATTAAGTCAGAAATTCCAGATTCAGTGAGAATGCTCTAAACTTTTAGGTATTAGATGGAAGGTGGGAAGAACTTCATCCTTCATCTGCCCACAGAGACAAGGATGGCTTGGTTTCTCAAAGGTAGGCTTTGAGAAGAGCTGCGCAGGTGAGACAGAATACCACTTAGTTTGTAGATACTGAGTTGGCCTAATTTGAGCAAGGTACTGTGCTGCCCTGCAGGATGGAAGCAGAACTTTAGATATCTAAGTTGTTCCAGTGGCAAAAAAGAGACACGTGTTATTTTGGAATAGGCACCTGATGCAGGAGCTGGAAGTAGGTAAGTGCTTAAATTCTTTTGTGGATCAAGCCCACATCTATAACTGTGCTGTCCCAAATAATTTCTTCCCTTTTCCAATATAGCCTTGAAAATCCAGTGTGATGGGCTGGAATAATGTTGGTTTTGTTTTTTGTTGTTGTTATTGTAATTGGAAATGCAATGTAAGCAGCATTTTCTTATCAGCTTAGAATTAAAATGACTATATGTTGGAAAATCATAACCACTGCATTTTTATTGGAGTTTATCCTGAGGGTAAATGAAATAAAGAGAAAAAGAAAGAAAGGCGGGGGGGAGAAAGAGGGACATTAAGGCAAGAATTATCAACCAGAGACTGGCATTCCTTTTATATCTGGAATTTGAGTTGTAACAAACATCATACTGTAGGCAGTGAGAAATGCAAAATGGAAGGTATTGATGTTGCTGTGTATGCATAGTCATCTAGACTCCACCATATCCCAGGGAAGAGAAGTAGACACTGTCAGAGGTCAGATAGGAGTTTGTTGTGATTCCCCTCCCCTTTCAGCTTGTCATCTGCAGTCCTAGCTACTTGCTAGGTTATATAATTATAGATTTCTCAGTGTATGGTCATGTATCTACCTGTTTACCTTTCCATAAATGACTCTTCCCTTGATTTTGAGCGTGCTGTCACAGGTAAGGATGGTCTACCTCTTTGAACTCACCACTCTACTTGTAGTAGGGTCCAAGAGAACAGCATATCTATCCTAAGATAGACATGAACAGATCTAATAGTTGGCCAGAATTTCGGAACACATAAGGAGTCATAGGAATTTGGGGATGCCAGCTCAAGTCTCTGTGACTTATGAAGACTGTGTCCCGTTTTCAAATAAAATAGAACTTATCTTCATTGAAGCTCTCACAACTCTCTTTTGCTCACATCAACTCTTGCTCCCTTGTTTTTCTGTAATCTTTTCCTAGTGCATACTTTGGCCCTGTTGCCTTCCCCTCGCTTCCTTCGAAAGAATCAGTGGGTTTCAGAGTTCATACAGCAGAAGTCTAGTCACATGAATGCACATCACTAACAGAAAGCTTTTCTTTCCATTGACTGCATTGTTTCTCTTTATGAACACTTTGTCTGTTAGTTGAAGAACTCATCTATTGCAAAGCTTCTGGTATGTCTTCTGGTTAAAGCTTTAAAATATTCTGCTGGTAAAGAGAGATTTTTTAGGAGGAGGTTTTAGCTTCTTAACAGAGATTACAAGGTTACTTTTTTTTTTTTTTTTTTTTTGGGTAGATTAGAGGTACAAGATTTTCCAACATAAGGCTATATTTTAGAGGGTAAGAGAGAAGTACAGCTTCGGTGATGTAGTCTTGTTCCTTAGCCCATAGTTGAAGATGTCCAAGTTTGGAGAGTTTGACTTAAATTCATTTTTTGTCTTTGCCTTGTTTCCTTTTTTTTCTCTCCCTCGTTCTGAATCGAAAACTTCTTTCCCATGGGAAGAAGTACGCAACACAGGACAGCAGGCAGGAACTTTAGCATCCAGAGCGTTGTTTCTGGCTCTTCCGCTAACTCAGGAAATGGTCTTGAACTAGTGGCTTAATCTGGTGGGAGGAAGGGGTGAGTGCATTATCTGTCAAGTGGAGAAAACTCTATTTTAGTTATATACCTCAATTATTTTGTAAACTTTAACTGAGAAGTGCCATTGGCATGCTACTGGTTCTTTTTATGAGAAGACCCGTAGCAAGCAGATCTCTTTCACTTTTCTGTTTTGAAGTTGGGGATGAATTTGCCTTTAAAATGTCATTGCATCCTAGTAAGTGAGATTTGAAATAAAAAAGAGCTCCAAAGTTTATCGTAGTGAGTAGAGAATTGCTTGCGCTGCAATATTTTTAATGGAGTTGGGCTTGAGTGGGCCAAGCTGAGGAAATGTACACTTTTTTGATGCAACTGGAAAAAGACAGGAGTAGGCCAGAACATGCTGACTTGATAGAAAGGGAGTTTTATGGGGTAACTGGACTGGCAAAAGGCAATGAAAAAAAGTCAGAGATGAAAAGGCTGTCATTGATGTAGAGGTTTGAATCTAAGAGCTTGGCCAAATCCTGGAATGCAATAATTTTGCCAGCCTTCCTGTAGAAAGTTTAACAAAAACCCCCTAATTTCTGGGACCACTTTTAGGATTATTATTGCCATTTTAGTCTCAAGGATAGGAAGTAGAACAGCAAAAAATAAATCTGTTCCCCACACCCAACTCTGATGTATAGGATAACATTGGTTCTAAAGAGATATGAAGTTATTGATAATTTATGTCTATAATGGGTGAAAACGGGTTAAAAAAGAAAAGACAAAAAGGTTAACTGCATTCATTTGTGCAGGAAGAAAAAAGAAAGAGTTTTTTAATATTAATATTATTGTTTTGCCTTCAAGATTTTTTTAATGACCTGTGCTTACATTTACTTATGCTTAAGCATCTGCCAAAGACATAAGGAACCTTTTCAGAGAGTTACAGAATTATGCTACTTACAAGGCAGACTGTATGGGATACTAACTGCACAAGTCCTGCTTCTGCAATAGAGTTCCAGATCATATTGCTTTGCCCAGTTATTTGGAAAAAGTATTTTATCTTTCCAGTGGTATACAGGTCCTTTTGAAATCAAAACTTTCTTGCCAGTCATGGCTCTGCAGATACTTGAGGATATTTATCCACTTTCCCAATTCTTTTTGAAACTCAAATAGTTGACTATGACATACTATTTGTATCAAAGTTTTCCTTTGTCAGTAAATCGTGTAACAATGAAAATGAAGGTTTATTGCCCATCTTGAGATAAAGGTATTATGTGTGTGCTTTTCTCCCCCACAGCTGTTGAAAAAGAAAGGAACATCCTCATTTCTTCAGAGACTGGAACGAGGGGGCCCAACCACTGTGGCAATACAGCTCAGGGTTAGTGAACATCTTCTGGACAGAAATTTACAAAAAAAACCCCAAACCCCCACAACATTTTAAAGGCAGGATTAGTCTCCACAGATTGCAATGGAAGAAAGAAAAATCATATGCTTGAGAAAGCCACTTGCATGGCCAGGTCAAGCCTTTTGAGAAAATGATGTTAAAAAGTTAGGAATAGCATACGTGTTGAGCAATTGCCTTTGCTGCACAATAATGATTGGTAACTGATTTTTTTCCCACAGAAATCACTCACAGATATTATTGGGAAGCTGCAGAACTGCACGCCACATTCTGTTCGTTGTATAAAGCCTAATAACTCCAAGTTGCCAGATACTTTTGACAATTTTTATGTGTCTGCTCAACTGCAGTACATTGGTGTCCTAGACATGGTCAAAATCATACGTCATGGATATCCGATACGTCTCTCTTTCACAGACTTCTTGTCAAGGTAAATTCTCTTAAGTTTCATAAAAACCTTTTCTTACCTACAGTACAAGCCTTCTGTCATGCTCTGGTAGTGCTTGCAGTGTTGTTTTGCTGATGAGCCTTTCAGAGTTTCTTCAGAGAAAAATCATGTCTGCCAGCAAGAGGTGTAGGCTTGTTATTTTTTAATTGAGGGAATAATGAACTTTGTGGAAATATATTTATAAAGATCTTCAGCAAAATGTATTCAATTTAAAAATATAATTTCATAAAGTACTTATATTTTTATAATTTATGCTATTTATATGATTTATAAAATACAAAATATTGCATGTTGTCTCCAGGTAATTAAAAAGCAGAAGGACAAATAGTCTAATTTTTCAAGTTTATTGGTGTAGGTGTCATGGGTTCAGTATTTGTATTTCATATGCTAGGATTTGTTTCTGCATGGTGATGCGTTATTAATGCTCATACCACAACTCCATTTTAATTATTGTTGTTAGAAATGAGTGAAATTTTAATTAACGTGAAAAGACAAAAAGGTGTATGTTACTGCTTCTGGCTGAAGGCAAACTCTTTTCCCCCATCTCCAATTCAGTTTTGGGGTTTTGGCTCACAAAATGCTTCAACAAAGAAAGAGCACCTCTCCTCCAAGAGATGTTTGTTTAGCAGCCTCATGATGTTCCTCCTCTCTGCATGTTCTGCTCCTTGACTGATGTATTAAGCAGTCATGATCTGGCCCATGTATTATTCTACTTCTGAAAAACAGCATGGGAATATCAGCTGCTTACACACATCTAAACTTTCAGTTGCCTTCTTGGAAAAAGGTGTGGATGTTAAATTACTGCTTGGACAGGATCATATTCTCTCTGGCAATTCTGTAAATATTCAAAAAGTGCAGGAGTATAGGAGTTTGTAATCACACGTATTTCAAAAATAAGCCATCTCTGTCCTACCGCAATATTCATCCTGCAGCGTGAATCCAGAAGTGCAGGCTGGTTGAGGAGCAGATGCAGGTAGTGTGAGATTTGGAAAAGCAGGCTGCTTTCATATTCAGAAGTGGTAGGGGCAATCTCTATATAGCCATTTCTATATCACTGAATTGAACACTTCAAAGGACTATTACATCGGCACAAAACCACAATCTTTTTTACTGTTAAATCCTTGCAATGGTTCCTGGCAGGGATTTGGTCCTTGCCACTCAGCTTTTCTCACTGCAATTCCCAGATACAGGTTGGGGGTTAGCACAGGCCTGGGACCATTCCTGGTGGGCAGCGTGGAGGTAGCTGCTGTCTTTTGGAGGATAAAAGAGAGTAAACATATGTACAAAGGTCATTTTATTCAGTTGGCTTCAGTGCCAGAGAATGGTCCCAGGCATGTTCACTCTAACAGTATAGGATGAGTCTGGCATGTTGTCTTTTTTTGAGAAACTTTATTTAAAAATATCACTGAAAGAATGTTTGAAGTTTCAAATATAATTTCAATCTTTTTCCTCCACTCCTTCAAGTACGTCCCAAAGACAAATTTTTACCTAGAAATCTAGAGGACAGCTGGTGTCTCACAACAAATATTTATTTGCAGTAATGATAGTAAAACAAGCATAGCAACAAAACCCAACAATATGATGCCAGCAACATTTATGGTATTATTTTAAAGTGTTCTAGTTTTGTTACTCTCCATCTTTATCCCTTTTCCTCCACAATAAGTTATCTTTATACATTCTTTGCAGCTGAGCCCCTGTCTTTTTACCTATTTGCACCAGGTCCTAATAATTGTATTATTATACATAAAATGAATTAAACAGTGGTGGGGCTAGCATGGTGTCATTGAAAACGAAGTCCATTTTATAATATTCCCTGTGAATATACATTGAACCTACTCAGAAGTTAGCAATAATCACTCTGCATACATCTCTTGACACTGCTGATCTTCAGATTTGTACACAAATAGGAATACAAAGCTCTTGTCCCAGCAGTACTGCAAGAAACCATCAGCGTTCTAAGGCTTTTTACAGTAGCCATTCCTGTCACACAGGCCAAAGCTTATCTTTGAACAGCAGAACATGCGAATTCTTCACTTGACTCACCATGACCAGCTAACCCTCGTATTCACATTCAGTGTATTTGGATAATTCTTTTCATTTCAAAAAGTGCAAGCGTGTGGCTATTTGTTCTGTTATTGGCTGAAAAGTACACAATTTTTAAGCAGAAATTATAGTATTAGATTGCAGTTCAAAAGTACCGTCAATTCTTAATGCTGTATTTTTTTAGCCAATAGACTACAGGTAAGAAAGAGTAAAGAATTATTGAATTCAGAGATTATGAGCTGCCTTTCCAAAAAGTCTTCTAAAAAACTGTCACTTGTACTACATCTCTACATTGCCTCTGTGACTGGACAGGATGGTTTTGGAAACCGGGTAATTGGTTTTGGTGATATTCTTGTAAACTGGATTTGCTTTGTTGGCTGTTCAGCCTAACTCTGGTCTTTCATTGATTGGAATGAGAAATTATTTTGTCAGATTTCCATATATGCTTATAGACCTGAAGTTGATAGACTTTCTCACCTTTCAATTTTTTTTTCCTTTGGTGTCAAACTGGTATTTCTAGTGTTCTAATACTTGGGAAAATAGTATCTTCTCTATTTCAGCAATTATTTTTCCTCCATCGTGGCTCTTCTTTTGCATGGTTCAGAATGGTCTGTGATTTCCAGTCCCTACGTGAGCAGCAATGGTTGCACCGGTAGGCAGTGCAGACTTTCGGGCAGACTTTGAGCATAGGCACTGAGCTACTGAGTGTGATGGCTTTCCGAGAGCTGCTTCTTGCAGAACAGTCAGGATGCTGCACAAGAGTCTAAACCTCTCTCTCTGAGATACTGGTTATTATTCTTCAAGTTGCAAAAGAGAGAAAAAATGACATCGACTTAAATTTTACTGAGGGTCCCTCAATCCCAAACCAATACAAATACCATACAAACAGGTAAACTATAAAATGTCAATTATGTTAAGTAGTGATCACAATAGGCCACAATGATACTGGTGTGTATGTGAACAGACTCCATTCTGAGCTATCCTGGAATCAAGAAGAAAAAAAAAAAAAACAGAAAAACTATTGCTCTAGATAGAGATGAATAGTTAGAGGCTTAGTTAAAACCTCATAATTAAGGACGGATCATGAGCAGGAGTAAGATCTGAAAGACAGTGAAGTCTTGCTGATTACCTTCAAGTACAGAAACATATACCAACTGATAGGGCCTCCACTTTCTGTGGTATTTTGACATCCGGAAGAAGCCATCATATTCAGAAGCCCAGGGATAAAATACAGCTCTATCACAGTGAATGAGGATGATGTTCTGTTCTTTTCTTTTCTTTTCTTTTCTTTTCTTTTCTTTTCTTTACTTTTCTTATATATTCCTTTCCTTTTCTTTTCCTTTTCTTTTCTTTTCTTTTCTTTTCTTTTCTTTTCTTTTCTTTTCTCTTCTCTTCTCTTCTCTTCTCTTCTCTTCTCTTCTCTTTTCTTCTCTTTTCTCTTCTTTTCTTTTCTTTTCTGTAGGGAATAAGTGTATTTCTTTAATATTATACTGATGATACTGAGTGGGAGGGGGGAGATAAATCAGGAAACAAAACACAGGGAAAGATGAAGGAATTGTTCTTTATTCACTGTAGGAAGCTGTAAACAAGTGAATGCTCTTACCAAGCACTCTTACTGGGCTGAAAAAGTTTAGCCTCCCCATGGCTTTCCCCAAGGGGCAAAGAAATTACTCCCCACTGGTCTGGGGAGAAAGACCTTGACAGCTGACAACAAAAAAGCACAGAGGGAGAAAGAAAAAAATAGACAGTTCTGTCTCTTAACTCAATAATGGATGCACCTAAGAATAATGAAATTTGCCTACACCTTAATTTTTTCTTGAATGTTTTGTAAGAAATTGAAATATGAGTAATTTTTGCTTTATTCTGTCATACTTTGCTGTGTCCTTGTTTGTAAATACTGAATACTAGTAAGGAGTCTTGATTTTTGCGCAGGTTTTCTCGTTTGAAGAGGAGGGTTTCCTCCCTATTTGAGTCATGATAATTAGCCATTTGACCGTGTGGCCCAAAGAGGGAAAAAAGATGTAAAACACAAGCTATCCTGCTATCCTGATATAGTTGACAAGTGTGACCCTATGGACTATCAGTCCAAAAATGACAAGACTTAGAGGTAGCAAAATATATCCCCAGATGTGTGCCTGTGGGAGGTTTACCCATAACTGTAAGATTTTCACCTTCAGCTTGTGTCTTGGAGTCCTTCTGATGGGCTGAGTTTCAGTGAATGCAGCTGTGTGGTTCACAGCTTGGCTTAGCTCAGCTGCAAAGTGTTTTATAGTAGTGATGCAAGGAAATCTCGTTTTTCTAGAGCTGAATGTACTATGCAGTTCTCCCAGGCTTACCTGGCTTTGAGAAGTAGAGGATATTAACGGCAGGTCTGAAAGCACTGTGCAAAATCAAAGAGAAATTGTGGCGCGGATCCCAACTGGAATTCCCAAAAGACAGTGAATTGCTACCCTCCTCCACCCTCCCTGCAGTATTTGTGCATTTACTTTTAGGGTCTTCCTTATCATATAGGTAATGTGGTCAGAGTTAAAAAAGGTAATTAATGAAAAAAAATTAAAACTTTTTTTTTCTGGCTAATAAAAAGACAGAATGTTTGAATTAGGGGCCTTTGTGGTAAAGGGATAGAATATCGGAAAACCTGGATATTCTATCAGTAATACAGACAGTACCATTGCTTTCTTAATTGGATGAACTTGAATAAATTTCTATTGATATGTAATTAGGGATTAATATGACTGGTCTTTAGCATATAGTTATGAGTCACATTTGAACTCTTATGACGGCTAAAGAAAGACAGTAGCTAAGGAAAGGTCATATTTTGCAAGAGCACTGCTTCCTGGGCTACAAAGCTTAATCGTTATTTCTGTTGCTGTCCTTTTTGGATTTACTGGTTCTGCTTCTGTATTATCAAAGTAAAAGTTGACAGCTGCTAGGTGTAC